TTAATTCTCCCCTCTAGCTGTTACACATTTCTTTGTAAATAAGTAACAAGAATTTTGTGTTAGATTAAGACAACAACTTCTACCTAATACATTTGAGTACTCTCAGTGTGTGCTGGATGGTGGATAAATATTGTAGGGAGAAGTTACTTGTTAATCACTTCTGGGAGTTAAAGGATTTATGTAGTTACAATGTATCCATTACAGTCTACATTTTGCATCTTTTGTTTTGAAATTATGATACCTAATACATGACCACATCTTCAGGGGTTTCAAAACAAGCCAGTGACCACCAGGAGTTCTACTGGCTATTTAATAACATGTCACCCGTTTCTGTTGTGAAAATAATTACCTTTTGGCCCTTAACCTTTTAACTTGTAAGATTTGATTTCATTTAGTAATTCTCTCTAATGTCTGCTATACTCTTCATGTTATGTTAGTTTGGAGAATGTGGAATCGGATCAACCAATAATCCCCTAATTGATATTTTTCTTTATTCTCATTACCTGTCTGCTTGATATTGTACTGATGTGAAAGAAGAAATTCTGTCTAGGTCACTAGTGGAACTTAAAGGTTAATGACCTTTTCACAGTCACCTACTTTTGCAGAGTCTGACATCTATTTTAAAACATTTTAGAACCGCTGCATCATGCAACGAAGGAGACCAAATGTGAAACCAAGAATTAATTTCAACCAGTGTTAGGGTGTTGACCCTCGAGCCCCTAAGAGTGACTAGCTTCTAATTTCTCCTCACCATATCACTCCTGATTAAAACATAAGTCATGAGAATAGAGGAGATGATCACCAACAAAAGCAGCACTCGACTGTTAGACAAACTCTCCTTGTCAGCCTCTTTGGAAGTGTATGGTGAACAGTACGGAGAATATGCATACTGATGTAAGGGTGTGAAAGTTTTAGGGTTGACCCTTTACACTCTCGCACAAGTCTGCACATTCTCCACACTGTTCTCTATACATTTTCTAAGGTGCTGACAAGGAGAATTTGTTTCACAATCAAGAGCCTCCTTAGTTTGTGATCATTTGCCTTATTTTGTGACCTTAATGTGTGATTTTGTGGCATTAATGTAAGGAGAAATTAGATGCTAGTCATTCCTAGTTTAACAGAATGTAACCTGGTCTGTAGTCAGAGGTGTGTGAACAAACTAGTCTTTTTCTTTTTTTGAAGTTATGCTGAGAAAGGTCTTCGCATTCTTGCTTTCCCTTGCAATCAGTTTGGAGGACAAGAGCCTGGTACAGAGAGGGAAATCAAGGAGTTTGTGAGTACTTATGGTGTGGAGTTTGACATGTTTGGCAAGATTGATGTCAATGGATCAAATGCAGATCCACTGTATGTCTTCCTGAAAAATGCCAAACATGGAACACTGACAAACAACATCAAATGGAACTTTACAAAGTTTCTGTGTGATAGGCATGGGGTCCCTGTCAAAAGATATTCTCCAACCACCTCACCTCTTGACATTGTGAAGGACATTGAAAAGGAGCTTCTTAAAGAATAACATACAATCCTATCCTGTAATAGTTGCATCAACTGAGTTTGTGCAGTGCAACCTATTGCACTTTTCAATAATATGGTGCCCCTTTTTCTTCAACAAAGAGACTATCTGACAGCAGGAGAAGAAAACCAAAAATGCAAATGGTACACATTTCAATTACCTGCCAGAACATGGCTGCTTTTTTTTAAGTCAGCAACGATGCATCTTGAGGGTAATTCCTAGTTTGCATGTTATTAAGAATTGCACGATTTTTTTTTAACTTTTCTTTTATAAATTATTCAATTTTTACGTAACTTTCAAATGATGTGTAGTTGTGAGAAGTAAGAATTTTCAGCTTTAAGAAACTTCTTATTTCTTGCAACTACACATCATTTGAGAGTTAAGCAAAAGTTGAAGAATTTATTGAATAGAAGCTTAAAAAATGCACACTTCTCAATAACATGCAAACTATGGAGTACTCTTCAAGATGCATCAACCTCATATGATCTCTTTTGTAATTTTCCTTACTGTCTGCCAGACATTGCTCATAATTTTAGTTTGGAGAATTTGGTATTGAATCAAATGATAATCTACTAATTGGAATTTTTCTATATTCTCGTCACTTGTCTACTTGAGATTGTATTTATATTGTAAGGAGAAATTCTGTCTTGATCACCACCGGGAGTGAAAGGGTTAAGAAGGCATGCTCCTGAAATTTAATTGAAGGATGTCTATCCATTTTCATGTTTTGTTTTGTTTTCTTCTCCTGCTATCAGATGGCGTTTTTGTTATTTGATACATGCAGGTTATCATTTTCAGTATTTAAATTGTCTTGAACAGAAGACACTTTTGATGTAAAGGTTACGTTTAACAAATTGGCAGACTACTTTGAAAACTAGAATGAAGGAAACGTTGGTTGTGTGATTAACTTATTATTTTATAACAGCACCATACATTTGTTGCCAAAGTTTTCTTTTCATTGTTTAAACTCAACTGATGACAGTCTGTTCGTAAATTCTCTTATCGAGTTTGAGCAGAATTGAAGATTGCAAGTATGTGCAGATTGCTTGCAAGTTGAGGGCTACTTTGACAAGAATACAGGTCGAAATGTATACACGTGTGCAGTTGAACCCTATTTATGAGAGAGAATGAAAGGGCTGCTGTTGGAGAATATTTGATCAAATAAAAGAGACTACAAATCATGCTTCTAGAGAAATTTCTGTAGAGGATTTCTTTAAACTATATCTAGAAAAAGTTTTTCCCTTGAACCTATAGTTGGCGGGTCAACTCAGTTTTAAGAGAATTCACTGCCAAGTGTATAATTTTTGCCATTTCATTTTACACATATAGTTTTTTCTTCGAAATCACAAAGAATTAAGTATGTTTATAAAACTCCTAGGTGCGGCCCCTATTTGTTTTTAAATGTGGTCTATCCTAAGAACGGCTTTCAATTTGTTTTAGTTATAGAAAGTTGTCGAGAATGTTGCATTGAAATTCGTGTTCTTTTGTTCCGTCCACAATCGGGGGGTTATAAAAGCGTTCGTTATCGTCTCAACGACGGAGTTTAAAAGCACTGCGCACTTTTATTGTTTCATCCACAGGTTTTTGATGTAAAGGAATGGCTTAGCAGGTAATGACAATCGAAAGAAACGAGAAATATTCTGTCACTGCGCTTGAAAAGATTTCCGTACAACCCCTTACTGTTCTTCAACAAAGCACTAATCCTAAGGCGAAACCATTGTTTTCGCCATTGTTTTGTTCATCAATCAATTGAATGCATAATAAATCGTGGGGTGACGCGGACATTTAGGCCGGGTCGTGTAGGCCACGCTATGACCTACTGTAATATATGCAATATGAAAAACAAGAACCAGAAAAGCTTGTTTTTGTAAAAAACGAAACGCATGAAAAACCCATAATTTCCAAAAATCAGCAAGGACATCTGTCGCATATTACTACTTGACCATTAACTCGACTATCTTTTAGCTAAACTTTGTTTAGACGTCATGGTGACATAATCTTGCTCGAATAACAATTTGAAAGGAAATAGTCATGCAATCTCCACGGTGCATACACGCATGCTTTTTTCGAACAAAAACCACCCTTTTTCTGCCTGCAGCTATTGTTATGTGTGTTACTGTTTTTCGTTCTGGAGCAACTGCAGAATATCCTGCCACTATAGATCACTTCATTTCCATGTGCCGGGAGTCTTTGAAGAACGAGGCATAACTCCATAAAGTGGCGCTGGTGAATAATTACTTGAAAGCAACAGAAAAGAATGATGTAATAAGCATCTTGAAGACCTATAGTTTTGAGAGCTCACTGGTTGCTTGGCTGGCGATCAGTAATTGCCCTCTCAGGTAATAAAAAAACGCCTTCGTGATAATAACCAGTGGTTTTTAACTCGCATTATCGGCCAAGTATCAAATGAGTCCAATAGAACTGTGCACGCGAGTCGTTTTATCCAGTGGTTTTTGATATTGGAGTATGTCATCGTAGCTTCTGATATTCATAAGAAATGCATTGACTGCAATATCATGTCAACATCATGTTCATACAGATTATGCATTTAGCTGAGTGTTTTTCGTAATAAAAGCAGACTAAACCCTAAACGTAATGAAAGATAAACAAGTTCGTCCACAAATTTGACACGGTCGCTAAATCATTAGCAATCCTAAATTTCACCTCGAGTTTGTTACGCAACACCGCATCGTAACAGTGTTATTTTCAGCCAGGTAAGTTCGTTTATTAACCCTGTAACTCCGATGAGTGACCAAGACAGATAAAGAGTATTATAAATTAAAGAATATTTAATTGAACTTATATCAAGTTATTCAAACTAACATCATAAGAATTAACATAACTGCATTGATAGAATTTTATGGCAGATAATAATGATAATTATTATCAATATACGCGGCCAAATAGAAAATCGGCCTCTTCAAAACACACGCTCAGCGGGCCGCAAAAGACTGACAGCGGGCTGCTAATGCATTATCAGCCCTACAGCTGATCCGTTAACTTTGTGATGATTCTGTTACCAGCATGGACATTTTTAAGGTTAACTCTGTGATATGCCTATTATTTATAGACGATTTTAAGCATTATTTCGGTAATTTTCAAAAATTTACTGGACTGAGTTGATTCTTTAATAGCTTGTTCAATCAACACTTACATGATGATTTGAAGTGACTTTGAATTCGTCATTCACTTAGCTTGTATTATTAAAACTCGCATTCTTGATATCATTTGGCCTTGTTTATTGATAATAATGATAATGACATGACTTTTTGAGGGAATATTGTTTATTTGCGCCCTTGTAGTGTCATTTGCGGCAAATGACACTACGCGGGCGCAAATAAACAATATTCCCTCAAAAAGTCATGTTATTCCCTTATTGATGATAACATCTTGGGTGAAGTGGTTAATTGGGTCAATAACCTAATGTGTGAATCCAAGTGGCTCCTGGTAGCCCAGCCCCAGGGTAGATTTCGCGAGAGGTTTGGGTCGCGAAATAGGGGCTAGATCTCTGATAACCCGTAGCCATCATAGTTTACTGAAGATGTCGTACAACCACAGTCAACTGAAAACTGGTGGGATAAATGTCAGGGGAGGGGTGCATGCGCAATTGCTTAGATACTGCGAGTGATCCGAACATTTTAAAGGAAATGGCGCTCGTAATTTTAAATCGGCCTTACACGGCCATAGAAAACCTGTCTTTAATCTGAAATAAGTCTGCCTTCGTAAAATATTTCTTTAAAAATCCAAAAAAGTTACAACCTAACGCTCTACCTTACACGCTCCATTTCCTAACTTTTACAAGGTTACAACCTTGTATGAATTCGATCATCTTTGAAGTCTTACTCATTAATGAAGACGTACGTAGCATTTCTATTACTTTCTGAGTGGTTCTTCGAAAAACTTCCTAAGACACAAAAGTCGATTAAACATCCATTTTCGTCAAAGTTGCCTTCCGTCGACAAGCCTCGAATTTGGGAGACTAAGCGACCACTCCTCACATCATCGATCACGTGAGGAGTGGTTGCTTGGTCTTTAGCTACGCTCCATTTCTAACTTTTCAAATTGTATATTTGCTTATCATTTCGCTTCCCAAACGTCTATTTCCCTCAGAAACAGCCACTCATTTTGATCATTGGTAACCAAAATTCGTAAACAATCAATCTTTTTGTTGAAAGTAGCTTGAGCTCTGCCATCTCTAAATGAGACAACTGTGTCAAACTTTCCACATGACGACGAGCTTGTACCAGAGACACTGAAGCTTGCTTGTAAGACACCAAACCTCAGAAAATCGTTCATAGCTAGATTTGAGCCAGTATCTACAAACACTTTCCTTGCATTAACGACAGAATTGAACTGTACAGTCACCTGGTCATCGCGCTTAATGTTTCTTCCCCAAAAGTATCCAGAGCCACCTTCGTAAGCATCTTGAGGTTTCCCTTGATTGGGTTTTATCGACGAGGAAACTTTTGCAGAGGGGTTTCTTCCCCAATATTTATGATCGTGTACATCAAAATATCTATCATAAGTAGCGTTAACCGGCCAACTCTTTTCTTTTAGAGATGACTTTACACCATGGTGTTGAAAAAAAGAAGCCACTGGTAAAATCAATTGTCCATTGTCAGGAACTTTAACTATACGCCAATGTCTTATTAGCCAATCGCCTGGCATTTCAGCGTACAAAAGATAGAAATAAGACGCTATACTCCTGAGATCCTCTGAGTGATAAACTTTTGCAGTATGACCCATGAAAGAGATGTCAAGTATTGGCCAAGCCTTTTTTTGAGATGAAATAAATCCTTGCAGCTTATGAAATACACTCGGGGATGCTTTGACGTCATCTTCGACGTGAAGGTAGAAGTTAGAAAGTTCGTGGCAATAACACATAAGAAATGCGAAATCTATGTTTTGTTTTGAACGCCAGTAGATTCTGGTCTTTGAATCTCCAAATTTCTTCTTTAGGTTCGTAAGCTGGGGGTAATATTTTGGCGATGTTTCGATTACATGCAAAATATCGTCTTCCACTTCTTTGTGAAAGAGCTTTGAAAGGTTGGTTATGGTAACCTGCTTCGCTCCTTTATCAAAGTCTGCGAGAAATACAACTATATATGTCTCCTTTCTGTTTTCGTCATTCATGTTGTCCAATAAACTTTGGATCGTTTCGGAAAGATAGTTTACTCCATTAGGTCTGGTTATTGTCGTTAAACCAATCGTCATGTGCTCTGAAAGTAAACGAGAGGGAACTCTTGAGTCAATTTGAAAGCTTTAGCTACCAAGATCCAATTTGTAGTCCTTCCTTGTAGCAGATATAAATTTCCATGAAAATCAGTTAAAAATCCTCTTGGTTGAATTGTGGCTTAAGTCGAAACTTGGCAAGAAACATTTTTGCGAGTTTTAGTGATACCAGCCTAAGAAGAAATAGTCTCTGAAATGGCAATTTTTGACACCAGCCAATTCCTGAACCCACCACTCATAGCAAAAAGCATCATTTTCAAATGAAAATACTGAAGACAATCTCCGAAAGTGATATTCTACGTTGTAAAAAAATTTGTATCAAATGGATTATTTAAGTCGACTGATCCTAACATATACGTACTTTTTGCAGAAGGATATTGCCCGAGTTTATTTACCCCTGAACTTCTCATGTATTCACTGCTGGGACAAAGAGAATGACTAGCTTTGTCAGGACTCCATAAATGCTCGGTTTCATTCACCACGGAACCGTTGATGTCACCAAGGTTTCTTGATTCTATCAAGAAAAATGGAAAGGAAATAACTAAATCAAATTCTGGGCTTTGCTATTGCGAATCCTTCACGGTACGCACATCTTAGCAATGTCGTCCATCAAGCATACGCTCTGAGTAAGATATTGAAAAATAAATTAGTAAAGAGCTGATGCTACTGTGTTTCACTCAACTGGGGTGAGAATAGGTTTTTTGTGTGCGCGGAATCCCACCAACTACGACATCCGGCACTGCTTAAGATCGTCATTTTCCGTACACTCAATTACATCTATCATTAAACTTATCCTTCTTGCAATTCGATTTCAAGAAACGCCTTTGGGACATGCGTAGTAGAAACAAAATAACGGATGCAACACCAAGGTAACACAGAAATTGAAGCAATAAGTGTGGTTAGATTTAACGAACACAGCATCTTCAAATACCTCCAAATTATCCAGTGAAAAAGAAGGAAACGAAGGAAAAAAGACAGAGAGAGAAGAGCAAAATTAAGTGGCGGTCTTAATCAAAATACGTACCCTTTTCAACAGGGACTTCAATGCTGGAAGGGAGATGTTTAGTTTGGTTTCCTATTGATGAAAAAAAGCACAACAAAACAAATAAACAAATAAAAATACAAACCAGTTCTATATTATGTGTTTTGACCAAGTGTGAAGTCAAAATGGCTTCTTTTTCCTTTTCTCGTTTTACTCGTGGATACGCGATAGCGTAGAAACGAGTTGTTGCGGGGCACTTTGGGATATGCAAATTGACGTGGACTCTCCGTAATTAGTCGTAATTAGTGGGCTCCGAACTCGAGATCTATCTATCCGGAGAAGTCCGAAGTCCTGGCGCCATCGTGATTGCATCGATCGTTGCGATATTGTCTTTACACGGCTGTTTCGACATTTACTAAATTGAGATTGACCTCGAATGTTCTGATTAGTGCTATGATCAACTTAAAGACCAACTTTAAAGTGTCTTCGAATCGGCCATGCGCTAAACATAACGACTAGTCACGAAGAGTTTGTGAGTGACAGAGCAAGCTGTTAAGAATTTGAAATTGTTTTTTTGTTTTTTTTTTGAGAATATTTTTAGCTTTTTTAATATATAAGATAGATGTTTTTTTCTATCTTCAAATAAGCTGTTCAGATGGAAATTCCCACAGAAACATGTACCCATGACTTGAAAAAAAAAATGTTGATTTACAGCTTTATTTCTCTCAGCAGCTACGCCAATTTCGGTCTTTCCGTTATGGTCGTCTCGTTTTGTTGTTTTTCTATGCAAACGTGACTGTTTTGATGGTAAAAATAAAATATGATCGGTTTCTACAAGTCGTTGCCAAGCACGAGACCATAATCTGGCAGATGTTGTTTTGATCACTTGACGATCTTTTTCACTCAAAACACACCACGACTTCCTAATTCAAGGAATGCTTTTCCAATTAATTTCTATCGCAACCGTGTAAAAAAAATACAAGCATATGCGTGTACTGAAAAACAAAAGGGAAATTCAAAGCTACGAGAAATTGCGAGTAATCGGCCTCTTCTGCTTCAAGCGGGTTTTTGGTGTGACATGCGTGTGTTTACCATAAGTTACAAGGACTTTACGCATGTGGGAACGCTGCAACCACGGTAGAAGCAGTACAAGGTGGAATGGCTATTGTCAGCCTGGAGTGATTATGCGCGACATTTTGCTTCATCACTCTTTGCCATTTCTACCACTTAAATATTAGTTCAGGGTTTCCATCGCATACTCAAGTACTATAATTTCTATAATTACAATGGTTCTACTTTCTATCTTTTTAACACCTTAGTTTACAGATAGCAACTTCACAAGTATATATCTCTTTAATACTTTATCCGTGAATTGGCCAAAGGTGCCCTTTGATTATGATTATAGACCAGATCAAAGTCGGGATCCATAAAAACACAAAAAAGAACGAGGCTAGGATCCAGCCATTTTGACCTCATGCTCGGTCATTATTGCATATCTGTTATATAGCAGGCAGCGCCCGTGGGTAATATTAAGCGAATTCTGGATTCTGATGCCTATCACTGCCAGCCATGCGATAGGGATACTAATTGCATTCTCTACATGTTCAGTTAAGAATAGCTATTCACCAGGAATCATAAAATTTTATTTCCATCTTGGAAAAGTACATGTGAAATTATGACACTGATTCTGTTTTAGATTCCTGTGAATAACCTAACCTTTAAAAATTTTCTCAAGTGTGATTGAGGCTATTTTGAATCTTGTTCAATTGACGACTCACCCACATATATATACATATGGCTTCGAATTCCCACTAAACGAATCACTGTGAGACGAAGCAAATTTGCAAGCTAGTTTAAAACAGAGGTGTCAAACACCCACAAAGTAGTGGGTGCTTGAGAACTTTAGGAAGCTGCCAAATAAATTTGATGGCTGGGAAGTCAGTAAAGTGTGGCCAGGTTACTAGGTTACTTTCTAAGGTCTCCATTTTCTTTCATGTTTGGAAACATTTTTTCGAAATGTCAAGCTATAGTTGTCTAGAGTTTGCCATCTACCTTTTTAAATGACTACATACCTGTAAACCTTGGTATGATGTCATTTATGTGCAAACGAGTGTGAAGTTATTTGCCAGTGCTCTATTCACATTTAGTGGTATGATTTTTAGTAAACCATAATTCAATTATAAGAAATAGTGGTTTTGCAAAAATTACCAGCTGAAATGTTGTGAAACACACACTTATGTTAATTCATGGCTGCTAGCAAAAAGGCCACACAATGTTTTTAAGAAAGAGAGCCATTTGAAATAATATTGAGTATATGGAGGTTTGCAAAGTTTCCTGACAGACAATCGATTACACTGAGCATTGACTTGCATTAAAAAGAAAATCGTGATCAGGCCATCACAAACACTGATGCCAGCCCCTCCCCCTCCCAAAAATTGGTTTCCCTTTTCCTAGGCTAATTTGAAATAGAGATTGGAGTTCATTTTTAACTTAAATTTAAAATAAGAATTAAAACTAAATTTTTCGCACAAATCACACTCAAACTGCTATAATCAATGGGCCATTTAACAGTTGTGAACTTAGTTGCCAAGCCTTTGATTTGGAGTGAAGCTGAAGGTGACCTTGTTGTGATAGAGACCAGTATCTAGTTAACATGATAACAAAGTAATTTGCACTTGAAAAGCAGCAAGGTTTGTATCAAAACAAGGTCACCCAGAGCCTCACTCCTGTTCAATGGCTTGGCAACCAAGCAAATAACTGTAAAATGGACCATTACTCGCAGTTAACAATATGCTTATTCAAACCTTCGCAATTGAAGATGCAAATTTCCATCTAAACGCACAATGACAGGCACTTTCTCGTGCAATTTTTGGCACAGAACAATTGTGTGGATTTATCAAACTTCATGGAATAAGTAATCTTTGTTACACCCATTTTTAAATCACTGGTGGTCCCTGTAATCTGATTGGCTCTAATTGGTGGGATTTATTCACAAATTGCACCATTTTTTTTTTTTCAAATCATATCTTTTTCCCTGCCAATGAGGAGGCCACAATCAAAACAAAACAATCAATCAGATTTCAAGGCTTGTTTAAAGTAACCAATCAAACTGCAGGAAAATGAAAGACAAAGAGTATCATGTGGCAAATTTTGCAATTTTTGTTTCCAAAACTCTTATTTTTAATTTCAAATTGGCTCAGTACTGCATCAATAAAATATTTTAACTGACCAAGTCATGTATTTGGGCGATTTCAAACTGGATGTAATAAAGCGGTAATTGAACCTCGTGTTGTGCAATTTTGGTCTGAAATCATATTTGTGCTTACAAATCAAAATTGCTCTGCACGCTTCTTCGATTATGAATTCACGCGTATGATTTCAGCCCAAATTGCACTCCACTCAGTCCAATGATAAAATTTCCGCACAGCCCCATACTATTGTAAAACAAATCTGTTTTTTTTTGTCATCGTTTTCTCTATCCAAGAACTAAATGCATAACGTAGTATGGGGCTGTGAGGAAATTGTGACACTTTCAGACAAGGAATGTAGCCTTCTGATTAAACTTATTTGCTTAATATCATGTATCATTCATCCATAGTCTGGTAAAGTGCTCTCATCTACAAACTCATGGTATGCAGGACAAACTATTATCAAGCAATAAGGCCGGCTATTTTCGCTTTCGCTTTTCGATCTGGACTGCCGAATCCATTGCCTATAAACAATACATCAAGTTTGACGGTCAGTTCATTTGAAATTTCCCACCGAAGTGGCTCGATATTTCGATAACTTAACTGAATTAGAAACTAGTTTTCGCTTGGTTGCGGTAAACAAGTCATGAAAATCTTGGTTGCTACGTGGGTTTCACTGCACGGCGGAGGTAATTCTCTTGTTTGACCCGTGAATTTCTTTTATATCTAAGATCCATAGTCACTTACCGATCTTACAGTCGCATTTTTCTGTCTTACTCTCTCTCTGAGGTTGCATGTGTTGTTGTTGTCGTGTGCGTCCATATTGAATAAAATTTCCTATGAAAAACGTGCTCGCGATAATCAATACCAATACTCGTACAACAAACTTTCGCCGGTTGATTCGACGAAAACTTCGTCTCATTGTAAACATCTCTTTAGCTCTGCTCTCCTTGACGCTCGAGTTTCAAGATAAGGACTTTCGCTTGCTGATGTTGAAATATCAATTAAGAGAGAACACCTGTGCGGTTTCGCTTCAACTGTTTTTCTTGCTAAGTTATGACATGCAAATATGTCCCTCTCTCTCTCTCCCAGGGGGAAAAATTAATGATTTTTGTACGAGCATTTATATACTTATTTATACAGAATTAGAATACAGAAATAGATACAAGGTGAAAATGTAAGTAAAAAAAAATAAAAATTTTTCAAGGAAAGAAGACTTACAATACAAAATGACACCACTTAAATTGGGTCACATTAAATATAGGAAGGAGAGGAGTTGGCACGTTTAAAGAAACAATCATTGAGCCCCTTAAGTTACGTCAGTATAACAGAAAAACTTGTAATTTTTAGTTGAAAGTAAAGGAAAACTTATAAAATAGCTCAGTAAATTG